AATATGAAACCATGTATCTATCACATTAATCAGAGGAAAATAAAAATTCAAGCAATATAAAAATACCAAAATGTCTTTGGTACTTGGGTGGCCATTAAGGGAGAAAAAAATAGAGGAGGAGGGGAAGAGGAGAGACGACAAGCTCAGAGAAAAAAGAGTTTGCAAGCAGCCAAGATAGGAAAGAAAGAAAGAAAGAGAAATAAAGAAAGAAAGAAAGAAAGGAAAAGAAAGAAAGAAAGGAAAGAAAGAAAGAAAGAAAGAAAGAAAGAAAGAAAGAAAGAAAGAAAGAAAGAAAAAGAAAGAAAGAGGGAAGATCTGTGGGCTGAGGTTGGTGGTTAGACCTAGTCAGAGAGTTCATTTTCTGATGTTGTTATCAGCTTTATTGAAGGTGTAATTAACATACCATAAGATTCATGCTGTTAAATTGTACAGTTCAGTGCGTTTTAATATATTCCCCAGGTGGTGTAACCAGCACCAATATTTATTTTTAGATAAAGAAGAAAAAGAAAACACGTAACAGTTATCAGTCAATCCCATTCACCCTTTCTTTCCCTTGACACCCCATTCCAACCATAGGCAATCATTGTTTTATTTCTCAACCTTACAGACTCTCCAGTTCTGAACACATCATAAAAATGGAATTATACAACATGTGGCATTATGTCTGTGGCTTTTTTTCTTTTAGTATGATGTTTTCAACGTTCATTCATTTTGGCAATTTCTATCAATATTTCATTATGCAAATTTACCACATTTTCCTTATCTTTTCATCCCTTGATAACATTTGACTTGTGTCTGCTCTTGGGTTCTTATGAACACTAGGAGTTGTTAGAAACATTCATATACGAGTTTTTGTGGGACATATATTTTCATTCTCTTGGGTTTATATCTAGGAGTGGAATGGCTGGGTCGTGTGGTAATTCTATGAATAAACATTTGAGGAATTTCCAAATTGCTTTCCAAAATGTCTGCACTGTTTTTCATTCCAAGCAAAAGTGTATGAGAGTTCCAATTTCTCTACATCACTTATTGTCTTTTTGATTAAAGCCATCCTAGAGGGTGTGAAATGGTATGACATCGTGGTTTTAAATTTATGTCTCCTTAATGACTAATGACATAGAGCATCTTGCACATGTGCTTTTTGGACATTTACGTCCTCCCCTCCTGAGGAAATGTCTACTCAGCATTTTATTCATCTTGAAATTGGGTTATTTATTACTTAACTGTAAGAGTTCTTATTTTTTCCAGATATATCTAAAAGCACCTTATTAGATATACAATTTGCAAATCTTTCCTTCTTTTCTCTGGCTTGTCTATTCACATTCTTTACATTATCCCTTGAAGCACAAAAGTTCTTAGTTTTGATATGGTCTGGTTTAAATTTAAATATTTCCTATGCTGTTACTTGAGTTTTTGTTGTTTAATCCATGAAATCATTGTTCAGCTCAAGGTCATAAAGGGTGATTTTTATGTTTTTCCTCCAAAAATTTCAGTTTTAATTTATTTACATCTGTGATCAATTTAAGTTTTTGTGTACAGTATGAAGTAAGGGTTTAACTTTATTCTTTTTCATGTGACTATTGAGAAGTTCCAGCATCATTTATTGAAAAACTGTTCTTTTTCCCATGGAATGTCATTGTGACCTTGAGCAAATATCAGTTGACCAAAGATAAGGGGATTAATTTCTGGACTTTCAATTCTGTGTCATTGATCTTCATATTTACACTTTCTCTGATATTTCATGTCTTGATTAGTATAATTTTGTAGAGATTAGGAGAGGAACTGTGAATCCTCCAACTTTATTCATTCAAGATTGTTTTGGCTATTCAGAGTCACTTAACATTCCATATGTATGTGGATATTGGTCTCTCTGCTTCTGCAAAGAAGCCATCTGAGGCTTTAATAGGAATTGTGTAAATTTGTAGATTAGTTTAAGGAATACCATCAATGTAATATTAAGTCTTCTAGTCCATGAATATGGGATATCTTTCCATTTATTTAGATCTCCTCTAATTTTTAAATAATGTTTTATAGCTTTTACATTTTTTACTTTTTTGTTATGTTTATGCCTAGATATTTTATTCTTTTTGATGTCATTACACAGGTCATTATTTTCTTAATTTATTTTCAAAGTGTTTACTGATTGTACATAGAAATATAATTGCTTTTGGTACATTGTTTTAAATTTTACAATATTTATTCTTTTTTGCCCCAATATTGGAGAATGAACCCAGGGCAAGGCAAGCACTCTACTTTTGAGCCACATCTCCAGCCCTATTTATTAGTTCTAATTGTTTTAGAATGAGTTGTGTAGGATTTCTTTATACAAATGCTCACATCATCTGAACATTTATGTAGTTACTCCTTCTTTCATAGTCTGAATGTCTTTTGCTCACACAACCAGTACAGTGTTAAATAAAGGAGCTAAAAGCAGTCATCTTTATGATTTTCTTATTCTCAGGGGAAAAGCATTAAATCAACATTAAATGTCATATTAACCATAAGATTTTCATAGAGTACCTCTATCAGGTTGAGGAAGTCCTCTACTCTTCCTAGTTTGCTAAGTGTTTTTAGTATAAGAAAGTGTTGGATTTTTGCCAAAAATTTTTTCACATGGTTTTGTGTTTTATTCTATTTATATATTATATTACATTTCCTAGAATAATTCCCACATGATTATGGTATATGATCTTTTTTATTTGCAGTTGGATTTAGTTTGTAAATATTTTGTCAAGGATTTTGATGTTTGTATACATAAAGGATATTGGTCTGTAGCTTTCTTTCTTTGTGATGCCTTTTTTATTTTGATATCATTGTAAGACTGTATTTATAAAATTATTTGGAAAGTTTCCCCTCCTCCTTTTTTTTTTTTTGAAAAGTTTGATGTCCATTCTTCTTTGAATGTTTGATAGAATTTACCAGTGGAACAGTTTATCCTAGGATTTTCCTTGTGGAAAAAGTTTTAGTTACCAGTGTCGTATTTTTACTTGTTACAAGATCTACTTGAATTTTTTGTTTTCTTCTTGAGTCATCTTTAATAAGTTGTGTCTTTCTCCTAATTTGTTGCTATAGTTGTTTATAACATTTCTTTAACATCAGTAGTGATGTATTTATTATATTTCATTCCTTAGTGTTTTTTCTTCTTGTTTAGTGTAATTAAAGCTTGTTATTTTTGTTGATTGTTTCAAAAAATCAATTTTTGGTTCTTGTGATTTTCTCTATTTTGATATTTCTTATTTTATTTAATCTCACTCTAGTCATTATTTCCTCTCTTTTTCATATGTTGGCTATACTTTTTCTAGTTTCTTAAAATAAAAGTTTATGTTATTGATTTGAGATCTTTCTTTTTTTAAAATGTAGATATTTATAGCTATAATTTTCTCACTGGCCAGTGCTTTTTATCCTATAACTTTTAGTATGTTGTATTTTTGTTTGCACTCATCTCAAAGTATTTTGTACTTTCTCTAGTGATTTTTTCCATATATTGATTATTTAGGAATAATATTAATTTTATAAATTTATGAATTCCCTAAATTTCCTTCTGTTATTGACTTCTGATTTAATTTTATTGTGATTTGAAAACATACTTTATATTATTTCAATCCTTTTAAATTTACTGAGACTTGTTCTATGGTCTGTCATGATATAGCTGGAGAATTTTCTTTGTGTGTGCCTGAGAAGAATACTTCTTCTATAGTTGTTGGGTAGAATGTTCTATAGAAGCCTGTTAGATCTAGTTGGTTTATAGTACTGTTCCCCATTTTCTTATAAATCTTCTATATAACTTTTCTATTAATCACTGAAAGTGTCACATGGAAGTCTCAAAGTTGTCTATTCTTCCTTTCAGTTCAGTCAATTTTGCTTCAAATATTTTTTTTTTTTTTTTGAACTCAGGACCTTGCACTTGCAAGGCAGGCAGTGGCACCACTGAGCTAAATCCTCAGCCCTGCTTTAAACATTTTGAAATGCTATTGTTGGGAGTCATAATTTTTATCTTTTTGATGAACTGATCCTTTATCAGTTTGAAAGTCCATCATTATTTGTAGGTTTTTTTGTTTTTGTTTTTATTTTAAAATCTATTTAGTCTGGTATAAGTATAGTAACTTCAGTTCTGTTTTATTTACTATTTTCATGGCATATCATTTTGGCTTCTTTTACTTTCAACTTATTTGTGACTAGCAGGCAGTTCTTATATCACTTTAGATTAGGCATTCTTGATACATTAATATCATCATCATTATTAATTTCTTTTCTGATTAGCTACCACTGATGAGTTTCCTCCCACTGAAGAGGTTCTATATTGTTATACAAGTACATCGTCATGAAAAAGAAAGGCAGGTAAGGAGGAATTTGTAAGCTGCAATATTGCTTAGAGCCATATACATGTAAAAATTTTTTAGAAGTGCTGACATCAAATGAAGATAAAGCTGATTCTTATCCAAGTGCTGGTATTTTTCCAATGATAGTTTGGAATGCTACTGTCGCGTTGTGATATTACCTGATTTGAATGCTGGTCTAGAAATTCAGGGTCTTCTTCCTTGTGAGAGCTGAGCACCAAGTGCAGCTGTCAATTCTTGCCTCAGTGTGCCTGGGCTCTCCCTCCTTGACTGGTTCTGGAAAGGAAACAGTGTGTAACAAGAGGAGTGCTGCAATGTTCTGGTAGGAAGCTGACCTTTATATCATTGTTCCTCTATTTTCCGAGACAAAAGAGATTAAATTAAAACTGGACAGGAGCCATTTCTGGGCCACAGGGTTGAACTGCTTTTCGTCTTTGTAAACCCAAAAGATTTAACAGAATTTTCCCCTTTGCATCCCTCCCTGCCCCCATCCTGATCTTTACATCTTCCCAACATTAGGGAAAGGCAGGAAGTTTTTCCCTGTGGGTTTTCTTTATGACGACACCATAGGGCTGGTTGATCAGCCCTAGGGAAAACCCCAGTGAGAACACGCCTTCTTGTACATTTCCAAACTTCGTTATAAGTAGAGCCATCCTGCCTTGCTCTAAGAGCAGAACAGCACTCGTAGAGCTCTTGGTACTCAGAACTGAGCAGACCCGTTCTTTGAGCTGGAAATGATGTGCAGTAGCAAGACTTTGTTCCTGGTTGCTTTGATGTCAGTGCTGCTACTCCACCTCAGCAGCAAGTTGGAAGGTAAGCGCTACCCTTTCTTTCAGCACAGGAGGCAGAACTGTTTTTCTTTTCCTCTAAGCCTTGTTATGTGAGTTCCCTAAGGGGCTGAGGCCTTTTAGGAAGCTTCCAAGGGGGAGTCATAAAGGCTGTCAGCTCATTCATGAGAGGAGGACAGCAGGATCACTGCTACCAAGCAGGCTTCCTCTCTGCTGTGAGTCTCAGCAGATCTGGAGAGCAGTGGGCTTTCAGAGGCCCCTGAACTTTAGGACAAGGGCAAAGTGCTGTTTCCGGGAGTACTGTAAATTGTGTGACTTTACCAGTCTACAAGGTCCTGAAACATAGGAAACACTTCAGCTTCCGTAACCTTTTCACTCGAGACTAAATAATCTCAGTGAAGTTTAAAACATGTCCTTTAGAAACAGATTATGACCCCTGACCTGACTATCCCTGCAGGCATCAATGATACAGCTTGTCAACTCTGAGCGACCATTTATTCCTTAGCTTAAGACAGGTTATAGTTTAACTCAGGGTAGTGTCCAAGTATTGCTTTATTACTAGGGATTCATCACTTTTAGCAACAGGTGCATGCTCGAAAAGACACACTTGAACTTGCATGAACAGAATTTAAAAGTACTATTAAATAGTATCACAAATGCAAAGTACATTAGCTGTAGCTCCTGAAAAATCACTTTCCTTTGTAATCCTACTGTTCAATGTTCCATAAGACAATAGATTAAAACATGCCAATTTACGAATTTAGGGGGCTTATCCATAGGTTTCTTTATTTTTTTTCTAAGTGGCATGAGGGACAAGTGCCCATATTCTTGAGTGATTATAGTGAAGTAAAATAAAATATTGTCCATTTGCATTCCTTACTAAAGATACTGTATTACTGAGAAGTAATGAATCTTCATACTGTGCTATTGAGCCAAACGGTTTTGAACCACTTTTTTTTTTTAAAAGAACTGGAAACTATGTTGCATTTGACCTCAAAGATCAAGACAGATTTCAAAGAAATTAAAACTCTTCCATGAAATGGATTATTTAGCACATAAAACAGAGTTTGTAGCTTCCTCGCAGCTTGTCATGGTCTCAAAATACCAATCACAGGATAAGTTCATCCCTGGGACTCAGTTCCTTTCATTTCTCTTTCAGCAGCAAGCAGCTTTGACTGTTGCCTCCAATACACAAAAGGCGTAATTCGCACCAGCTTTATTATGGGCTTCACAGAGCAGTGGGCCAATGAAGGTTGTGACATCAATGCTATCATGTAAGTTACCAGTTAAATACATGTGAATTTTAGGTATAATTCTTTGAGTATCATTCAGAAATGCAGGTGCAGTTAGCATGTTCAAACAGTAAATATCTACATTACAGTTCACTTTAAATAATACTGAAATACTAAAAAGCTTAGTTGGAAACAGAAACAGTAAGAATGGAAATCACTTTCTAAAGTAAACTTATAGGCTATTAAGTACTCTCTCAGGACTATATGGAAGACATGTATTGAAATGAGCATCTTTTATCAAAAATGATTGGGCTTGTAAGTAAAATCCCAGGCTAATTACACTATCATATGTAATGTTTCTGGCTCACATAGCATACTATATTTTACAATGATATGCTATTGACTATATATCAGTGGCAGGAAAATTAAATAACACTTCTGGGACTTTATCTTTCCAGTACTATAAAATTACACTTTGGTTAAAGTCAAGGAAAATCACCTTCATTTCTTTTCTTTTTTTTTTCTGAAACAGGGTCTCACTATGTAGTTGAGACTGACCTGGAACTCACTATGTAGCCCAGGCTGGTCTTGAACTCACAGCGATTCTCTTGCCTCAGCCTCCCCAGTGCTGGGACTACAGGCATGTGCCATTGCACCCTGCTTACCTTCATTTCTTGAATCAGGATTTATTTTAAGCATTCGTTACATTTTATCTCATTAACTGAAATGTTTAGTAAGCAGAGAAATCAATTGGAATGTGAAATTTCCATTGTTTGTTCTGTGAAAAAGCATTTAAAACTTCTTAAATGCAAATCAGTTTTTTCTGATCTTTCAGCTTTCACACCAAAAAAAGATTATCCGTGTGTGCAAACCCACAGCAGAACTGGGTGAAGAGGGCAGTGCGCATTCTCAGGTACGGATCACTGACTGGTCGGAAGGCAAGTGCACAGAGAGTGGGTCACAGCCTCAGTGCTAAGGAATTTTTCAGCCAACATTTGGGTTGGGCCATAAAAGCAGAATGTATTTTTCTACTTACAGATCATCATTATTTCATTTCATTGATGTTCTTCCTAGGATGTATTAGGCTCCCCTACACATTTACTAGTCACCGGTTACTTGCTTCTTGTTGCAGAAATTATTCCTATAGGGATATCTAACATTTAGTTGTGTGTTAAAACCAAAAAATAAGCATTAAAGAGATGGGTGGTTTTGAGCTACACTGATGCTCAGAGTAACATCTTATAAGTAGATAGCATCTAATATCAACGAGCCATAGATAGATACTGGACTTGGAAACAACGCAAGTGCTCGTACCCTCTTTCTGTAATTGGCTTATTTATCTTGGGTAAAGCTCATCCACATTCTCCTCATGGACTCTTGAGTTCTTTTTCACTCATCAGTGAGGTTAAGGACCTGGGGATCAACTCGTGGGTACCAAAGCCATTCCCGCAGCCAGTAACCACATTTGGGCTTACGCTTTTCTTCTTTTTCCCTTTACAGCAAAAAAGGCAAGAAGCTGTAAAAACTCATGCGCTTTCGGAATGAAATTGGACACAGCCCAAGACAAAGAACACAGCTGGCATGGGAGGTTTCATGAGCACATCGTTTAGCACTTACTGATTTGTGCTTTATTGGACTTGTCCAGTTGATGAAGTTGATCCATATTGCATCATAGTTTGCTTTGTTTAAGCATCACACTAAAGCCAAGCTTGATTTTATGTTAAGTTATTTATAGCTGTAGGATTTGTATGTGTGTGTGTGTGTGTGTGTGTGTGTGTGTGTGTGTGTTTAGCTATTTATACTAATTTCTCATAAGCTACAGCTTAGTGCAACGTATAACATTACATTTGGCGGAATGCAATTACATCGGACTTCTTGCAGGTAGTAAGCTATTTTAAAAGATGATTAAACTTTCCTTTGTGTGTATAATTTTGTTTTCTAAACTGCTGTTGTTACCTTATAAAAGAGAAAGGTGATTGTTGAAGGGTATATGCTGAAAATAAAAGAACCAAAAAAAAAGTTACTTGTTGATAGAGTCGTAAATTATTTATTATGATGGGTACTGAAAATATTTAAAGGTAGAGAAAATATAAATATTTTATGAAAAGTTGAATTCCCACCTGGCTGTTTCCTCTTTGTCCCTCATGGTCCTGGATTTGAGTCTGTATAAATTATAATGAAAAGTGTTTTATAAGTCAAAGCCATACACACCAAAAATTACAAAGATCCTGTATTTGAGATTCCATAGCCCAGTGTTTATTAATATAAGTTCTTAAAACACTTTGTGACTTCAAGAACACAACCACCACTCCGAAAATACCTGGAAAAATCAACCAGTCCATCATTGTGCCCCTAGGCAGGATGCCAGGAATGTTCATTTCAGCACAGGAGCATATTTCTTTTTTTAAAGTCCTCCTGAGTCATTAAGGAGTTTCCAAAAGGGAAATCACTCTTGGAGAGTGCTTAGAAACAGGTTGACCCTCTAACATGAGGGGAAACTCCAAACATGCAAAGGCTGGCAAAGTTCTCAGGAATAAGGCAAAGGGACCCTGAACCAATGTAGTTTCCATCACAATGTTTGTGTACTGAAGCTCATGGAGTGCCCCAACTCCAAACAGTCTGCCTCAATTTCTAAAAGACCCGAGGGTTCACTGAGGCAGGCGTGCTCATAATGAGACACAAGATCCAGATGTGCAAATACAGAAAGCACGGCAGAGTTGGGTGATCTGATGAAGAGCCAGCAAGTCGCTCAGTATGCCCCTAAGACATCTCTGTGCCCAGGAACAGTAAACCCGAGTCATCAGGGAAAGTATGCTCAACATCCTGTCTGTTTATTTAGCAAACATAAGTTTAGTATTTATTATACATGCCAGGCAGGGTGCCAAGTGTTAGAGACATAAGTGATTTAAGACTTGGTAATTTGCTCATCCATAATTAGGATTAAGCAATGTGGCAAGGGGGAGGGATTAGGGTATTACAACACATGGTGGTAAGCACTGTAATAAATTAAGTCATAGATACCATTGGGTATCATTAGTGAGAGCTTCCTGAAGAAAAGAATATTCACTTGACTGTATTAATCAGCGATATCCCATGCTCTTGACAGGAACAGAAGCCCAGTTCTTGAGCTGAGGTATGAAGGGCCAATAGGAAGCAGGAAGCAGGCAGCTGGAAAAGGGGCTGGAAAGAGCACTTGAAAATATCAAGGAGAGCGTTTTAGCTGTCACAATATCCAAGGTGGGGTACTGCAGGCATTCAGTAGGCAGGAGCCAGGGATGCACAGGATAGTTCTGCACAATGAAGAATTGTGCCACCCTTAATGGCGATCACACCACTCCCGAACAATGAAGCAAAAGTGTGCAATCAGTGGAGGTGGGGGTGGAGCAGCTGCGGATGAAGCGAAACTGTTACCTCAGCTCAGTGTAGTGGTTTGAGCTCGAATGTGGGAATTCTAGGGAGCCACTGAAAAAGTAAAGTCAAAGGAAAGGAAGGGGGGTCTACGTGGGAAGCAGAGGAACCAGAGCCAGCTGCATGGAGCGGGCTGAGAAATGGGGAAAAAGTAGTGAGCAGAAGCCATAATAGAAGGAAAGCTCCAGAAGAGATGAGTTGCAAACCCTGAGGCTCATCCCAGACACCCTTCCTGCCACCTTCCTCGGGCAGCCACATTTCGAACAGCACTGCCAGAGACAGGTATTGTCAGGGGACAGCAGATTTTTCTGACTGCAGGGACTTATCACTGGCTAAACCATGTAGAGTAACACAGATTTTGTGTGGTTTCCAAAGGTATCTGAATCTTTTGGGACCAGGAGTATTAATAACTTCTGGGTAAGTTTTGGGAGGCTGAAATCCCCAGGAGAGAATGCCAATTTGTTAATCAATCAACAATAGAAGAATCGAGGCGTCAGGTACATGGGCAAAGACACATGGGTAGATGGAGTGAGTGAGCCACTTGAGAAATGACACACAAGTCACAGAGATGATCTGTTAAGCTTAGAGCCAGGGTGTAGGGCCTCATTCTGTAATTTGAATGTGCGATACATTAGTCTCACTGGACTAGTGATGCTGCCCTCAGTTCAGCTTATTTTTCATTTTGGAAAATGCATATCCATTAATTTTAAAGTAAGGGATAATTTACTTGCTGTACAATATGCATATCTTGTGCATGAAGCTTGATACATTTTTATATGCATAAGTACTTGATTAGCAACCCTTCCCTTTAAAGATAATAAACATTTTCAGTACCCTGAAAGGCTCCCTCAAGCCTCCTTAAGCCCAAAGGCACAGTTGTTCTGACCCAGCCACAGCAGATTGACCTGTCTCTCGATTTCATGTATATAGGGCTATACAGAATGTGTTTTTTGGTTCTGGGCTTCTTTTTACTTTTATTTTTAATTATATGTGTAATTCTCACTTTTAGATTCAAGAAATACTGATAAGATGAGTAACAGTGGTAAACTTCCCTCAAGACTCTTCCCTTTTCAGGAGTAACCCTTGAAGGTGCCTCTGCTAGGTCTTCGTTAAAAATCCCTTTTTGGCTTTTACAATCTTCTTGAGAACATAAGTAACCGTCACTAATTATGGTCCAAGGCTAGTCTTGTCTTCTGGAGTCACTCTCACAACCTGAATGTCTCTGAGGTCTCCCCTCAGATACTTTCCCGAAGTCTCCTGTTGCGACTGCTGACGGATGGCCATAGGTGTACCCTACATCTGGTTGACTTGCTATGTTCTGAGGTTGTCTGCAAGATCCTCAGTGTTCCACTGTATGTGCTTCCCATCAGTGTCACAGTCATTAAGAGGGTAAAGGAGATGAAGATGGGATACTGTTCTTTGACCCTGGCAATCTTTAGGTTATAGGTCTCTGTAGGTCACTGGTAGCTTGGTTGTATTTGGAGAGCTAGTAGGGAAGAGAATCCCAAATGATAGCAGGTTGAACACTGAATAGTGACAAATGGTTCAGCAATGAAGGCAAGAGGAGACACAATCTAGAAGCTGGGATACTTTAATGTGGAAAAGTATTGAAATGCAGGCATTAAAATATTATGATTCTATAAGGAGCAGTGGTCCCCTCAAGATGTAGGACACATGAATAAAGAATGGGAGTAGGTGGGAGAGAATTCTGCAGGGATGGAGGAAGTTGGAGTTTGAATCTTGTGGTCCTTCTCTCCTTGGTGAAAGGCTCATCTCTGGAGACTGACGAGGGAGGGCAGGGCAGGGGTGAGGTTTTGAGATGAAAGGAGAAGCTTTGAGATAGTGACAGACACAGAAACACATGGGAGGGTTGTTCCAAGGTGTTGGGGCTCCACTGAGGTGGGAGATGATGAGACTGCTGCTGCTGCAACTGAGAAGACCCAGGTATAGAAATCAATGGCAGCTGGTTCCATTAATGCAGATGCGATGTTTCAGTGCAGGGTGGTACAGAATAGGGACTGAAGGGCTTCTCCATTAAATCTGGGCTGAGAACATCTGAAAGACTGGAAGGAAATGAAGAGGCCCTTAGATAAAAGGGTTTAATGTGGTCAAAAGGTAGGAGAGTTCAGGAGCCAAGGTCCAGGGTGTGGCTGTGGGTGTAGAGTTCAAGTGTCATGTGACTCTGAAAGTGTCTTAGTCACTTTGCTGTTTCTAGGACAAAATACTCTACGCCCACAATTTAAAGGAAGGGAGGATTATTTTGGCTTGAGGTTTTGAGAGGATTCGGTCTAGAGTTGGCTGGCCTCAAGGCAGAAAGGGCTTGGTTGGGGAAAGCTGCTCAACCGTGACAACCAGGAAGTATAGAGAGAAGGGAAAAACTGGGGAAAAGAATAGACTTTTCCAGGTCACACCCTCAGTCACCTACCTCCAACCAGGCCCCACCTCCTAGCAGCTATGGACTCACCAATGGATGGATCCACAGACCCATACAACACCTCATGATTCAATAATCACCCTTCAAACAAGAGATTATTTGGAGGACATCTTAGATCTAAACTATCATACAAGACAATTGAGGTGGACTAGACATCCAGTCAGGACAGGGCAAATCCCAAAACAGAAATTCTTGTAAGAACTCCCATGAATCCATCACCCAGTAACAACTAATAAATGACCAATTGTTGTTTCATTTATATCACCCAGCTCATCTTCCACCTTTCTCCGTACTCCTTGGATGATTACTTTACAGCAATTTCCTGAGCTCAAATTAGTTTGTCTATAATTATTTTAATATATATATATATGTATATATATATGTATATATATATATATACATATATATATATATTTAAGGGCTTTTAAAAGCACAATTTCATTATCATGTATTTAAAAATCAGCACTAACTCCCTAATGTCACCAAATATCTTTGTCAATATTCAAACTTCCATGTTACTTTTGTTTATTTTATGAGGGGGTAAAATAAAATTTCATAATAAAAGAAGCAGCTAAGGCACCGTGAATCATTATTTACACTGTAGTCACTCAGGCCATGCAATATAGACAAAATGATTCTTGCAAAGAAGAAACAAATAGAAAATTGCAAAATTTTGATTTAACATCATCACATTACAGGGACACATGCACACTCATGTTTATAGCAGCACCAATTATATAGCCAGATCGTGGAAATAGTTTGCATATCCATCAACAGATGAAAGATAAGGAAAATGTGGTATTTATACATGATGGGTAAACTTGAGGCCTGTTACTCTTTTAAACAAAAAAATTTTTGTTTAAAAGTTGAATTGTTTGAAATGAAGAGTCAAAGGAGAGGGAAACGCATTGCACTTTGTTTTTTGTTTTTGTTGTTACATTTAAATGCCACCTCCTTTTGCTTTTCTCTTATGGTCTATGGTCTGGACAGAGATGTGTGTAGTTGTCGTCTTCTGGGCTCGGCTGGTTGCATGCCTGCGGTGCTACTCAGCATGCTCTTTGACTTCTACCTAGTAGAGGCTGATTGGGGGAAGGAGGATGAGACCACTGTACATGTGTGAGTACAAGCCAGGCCAGCA